TTACTATTACTATTACTATTACTTACTGTTACTATTACTATTACTATTACTATTACTAGTACTATTACTAGTACTATTATTACTGTTACTATTGCTATTACTATTGCTATTCAAGTTCTACTCCAACAGGCTCACGTGCCCCTGCTGAGATTGTGCCAGGGTGCTCCTTGCCGTATGGACGGCTTGACCAGACCTGCCAAGTGAGATCTAAACCCTAAACCCTTAAACCCTAAGCCCTAAACCCTTAAACCCTAAACCCTAAACCCTTAAACCCTAAACCCTTAAACCCTAAACCCTGAACCAAGTGCTGGAGCCTGACCTGGCAGAAGCCTCAAACTTCACCCGCTGCTCGGATCGCTGGCCTGCCGTTCGTCAAGAGCGCTGGAGACGTGCTTCATAGATGGGCTTTTCACTAGAACTCCTGAGTTTCAATTTCCCTCAGGCCTTGCTGAACCTGAGAACTAGGATGCAGCTCGCTCATCGTTCACACCTCCCTGTACTCATGCTGACTTGCCTGCTGGCCGCGCACTATGGGCGCGACGAGCGAAAGCCATTGCGAGGCAGAAAGTTTCTTCTATTCTGGCTGTCAACTATCTGGATCCAAGACCTGCGTTTTATGCCTGCCACGTCTTGCACGCTGGCTGGTGGGCTTTGCTCAAACAGCAAGGGTCTGCTGATGTGTGCCACGCACATCGTTTGGAGCAGGCTGCAGTGGGGATTGAGGTGAATGGTTGTGCTTTCCCATTGCTGTTGGAATGGGCCCCCAGCAACATCCCGCAGAGCGGGTACTTGAAGCCCAAGGCACAGCCGGCGCAGTGAGCAGCTTAGCTCAAACAAAGCATTTGGATCATCAGCGCAGCAGAAACGCTTGAAGCCCTCCCCCCCATGCCTGAGTTTGCAATGTTGGGCGGCCTAAGCTGAGGACCCGGCTTCTTCACCACCCTGAATGCCACACCAGCGCGGTGCGCGCAGCTTGATGGAAATAAGCTGCAAGCTTTGGTGTCAATCGGTGCCCTGCATCACACAAATATTCTGCGCTTGAAAAACTCTACCATGCTGACTTTCGCTTTTTTCCGCCTGTCGCACATGCAATCCATCTCAAGCTGATCGAGGCTCAGAAGCGACTACTGCAGGTCCTCAGCCAGCCATACGCAGCAGCTCTCTAACAGATTGCTTAGATGCACAACCTGCTACGCCCAAACCAGCCCTTCGGAGAGAGAAACACTTATGCAAATCCGCCGAGGCCTCCGGCCCGTCGGAGGTAAAGTTAAAGGGAAATTATCCAAAAGCTCCGCTCCCCTTACCTTCTCACCGGCCCCAAGCCAAGTAAGCGGAAGTTTTTATATGAGACCTGGAAACAAACACCCCACCCTCGCCCAACACACCCTTCCTCTACCCACGAGCCTGACTCGAATGCTGAGCTGACCGAGGGATTAACTTCTGTGGAGCATGGTCGCCGTAATGACGAGCTGAGGTGCGCACAGTTGTGGCTCCGGAGACAGCCTCTGGCTTCAGCGGAGACCGCACATCTCAACGGTGCTCTTCAGAGCTCGCGTGCCGTAGTCGCAGTGAAACCTCGCGAGGGATATTGAAGAACTTCAGCTCCACAACAGGACACCGGGATTCGGGCTGCAAAGACAACTGCTGGGAGGACCTGAGCCAAGGCCCGGAAATGGGAACGCGACTGGACCAAGATGGACCAAGTAATAGGAAACACCCAGGCAGGACTGCTACCTGCTCCATCAATAACACCTGCATCTTCCATTCGCCACAGCAGACAGCTGGAAAAGCTTGGCCCCAGGACAGGGTGAAGGTCGTCACCTGTGAGACCAATCGTGGAATGTGCTGGGATGTGATGTGTTTGGGGCTTGGCTGCTTTCGCTTTGAGGTCCCTGCCATCTTCTTCGCCAGGATCTTTGCCTCCCTAAATCCGTAGGCGTAGAACCTGCGATTCGCAACATGGCCGCTGCATGTCTCTGCCGTGCTAAGAAGCTCGAGCAGCTCAGAGCCCCGCATGATCTCACCGAGGAGGGCATAATCCGGCACCATCATGGCCTTGGGATGTGCATCCGCACTGCAGCAAGAAGCCTCGCAAGCCCAAGCGCCGTGTCTGGGAAATCTGGCAACAGGCCGCAAAAATGCTGCCAGATTGTCGGGAAGCTCTGCACGTCCAGCATAGCCTGCAACTTTCGAAACGAAACGAAGACCTTCGGTTTCAGGCCAATGAAGTCGCAACAGCAATACGGGGGTGAGGTTATGCGAGTTCAAGTTGCGGTAGGAAAAGTCAGGCACGGAGAGACAAGTAATACGGCGCGCGCGTCGTCATGCCCATACAGTTCGCTACACGACGAACCACCTAAGCTCGCCGGTCCGATGCTGCTTGGGTCGCAGCGCAAGATGGCTCAAAAGTAGGCTGTGCCTCAAACGCCTCGCAGCTCTCCTCTCGTCCAATGGCCTGGAGATGGTTTCCCACGGCGTAGGGCTCTGAAATCTAAAGCAGGCTCATAACTTATATGGCTACTGATCAAAACCAC